TGCAAGTTAAATCTGTCGGGTCACAAGGTCCCCCATGTTCCTATAAAAAAAAATCATATCTCTGGGGCACTTAATTGAAGATGAATCGTTCTCTGATTTAAGTCAAAATTACGATTTGTGGATGAATGATTGGATGTATGAATGGGTTGTGACATGTTAGTGGCTGAAGTTGTATTCTTGGCCATACATGGCACCACTGAAAAACAAGAAACACAGCCTCTGCCTTAAATACACTTGGTTTCACCAAGCAGGCTTGCAAGATTCGCAAGTGACATTGAAGCAACAACATAATTATCTGAGTGGTAACTTATACAAATTAATAACTTTTTTGCGATGTTACGCTGTGAAAAATAAAATATAATTGAGTTAATTTATACAGAGTAAGAAAACTGCGAATGACATATATGTATAAATGTTGAAATATTAGATATTAAAATGTCTATGTAAGATGTGTTAAATAAATAAAATTACGTAAATGCATGAAATGTGAATAAATAAATGAATTAAGGGCAAAACTAAATACAAACATTTCTCTCTTATTTTACTTACTACGCAAAATAAGACGTAATTTAAACCAAACCAATTCCTTGAAAGAAAATAACTTTAACCTAGCCCAATGATTATTTGAATAACATCTCCGGTTAGAAATACATTGGCAGACAACACGTGGTATTTTCTTCAGATAAATAAAGGCTATTTTATGAGTAACATATAATGAGTTTGTCCTTAACTAAGACTATTTGAAGTCTGATCTTTAGATTACGAAATTTTATATACTAACAGCTGCAATCACTTCCAGCTGTACAAAATGCAAAACAAAACTATTAAACTATTTTCATTCGAATTCCTAATTCAAGGCATTTGTTTGCTTATTCCTCATTTAAAGCTTCTGATTGTACAGAGCGCAAAATAAAAAACGGACCACCCTAAATAATTTTTGATCTAATGATCGGATCATCACGTTCTGGAATTCAATCTCAAAAGTTCGAGGGAGGGACCTCAAATATGCTAATTAATTAGTGAACACGATATTTTAAGTTACGAAATCAGACACAAAAACAAGTTTTCTATTTCCCGGCGGAATCAGATTTCTGACCACCGAAATGTACGGTATAGTTGCTATCTGGAAACAGGGTCCCAATAGTTTGGTCAGGAGAGCTACACAAAGTTCGAATTGTAACGTATACAATTTTTTGCATAATTTAGAAGAATCCAATTTTAAAAAAAATAGCATATTAGGATCCACTATTTTAAAAATGCGACTTTTTCAAAATACGATTTCTCAGGAACTGTTTGATCGATCTTGCTCATATTTCAAATTTTTTTCATGTAGAATTACATACTTTAAAATGATGTCAAATATTTTATACCTTACAATTAAAATTTTTTTCAACTATCATTAAATAAAAAGAAATATTTACTTACATTTATTTTTTGCATGGAATAATCTCTGAATAAGCGAATTTTATAATTGTTAGCAAATATGTTTCGTTTTCATTTCCCAGATTGCGGCTACATTTGTACTTTGGGGGTCAGATATTCGAATGCGTCGAAAAAAAATTTATATTTATTCAGAAAAAGTACGTTTTATTGCCTGTTTCGTATCTTTAAATATCTTCTGCATTAATTAACTAGCTCATTTGAGGTCATTCCCTCAAGCCTTTAAGATTGTGTCCTAGAACATGAAGATGTAATCATAGATCAAAAGTTATTCAGATTGGTCCGTTTTTAATTTTGCGCACTGTACAGAAGAGTTTATTACAAAGCAATTAGCTTCAAATTTCAAAACTTAAACAACTAACAAACCGTCATTGTTTTCACATTACCTTAAAAATTAAAAATATTTTGTTTTCCTGGTATGGGTCAAAAAATGTATTGTTAAAAATGTATATTTTTGGGGTAAAGAGGAAATTTTTACCACCGTTCATATAAAAGAAACTTTACTTAATTTCAAAAGTAAGAAGCTTTGAACAATGGTTTTCGAATTGGTAGTTAGCAAGTCACAAAGCAAAAGAAATGTTAAAAGTTTTAATTTCTTACGAACATGGGTTTCAAAAGCTTTCTATTTGTGAATAAATATGGATTTTTTTAAAAGATAATTAGTGAAAATTTTGTGGCATTTTGTTCTTAAAATGTAACTTCGGGTTTTAAAAAATTTGCTTTGTGTTGTTGTGAGTCAAGTGGAATATTTCTTTCTACCGAATATTCAAGATGCCTTTTACTACATCTTTTATTGTAAGTGATGTACATTTGTAAATATTTTTGGCCATATAAAGTCATATATTTTGGTCTAATTAGTGCGAACATTTATTTTCTTCATAGAGACGGACATTCTAGCTTAGGAGATAAACCGTTTACTTTTCAATGAGGTGAACAGGGTTCGAATCACAGCGATGGCTGGTCTTTACGAATTCCGCACCCAGCTGGCACCGACCACTGTGGTAACGTAAATTATCCTCAGTCGTAGACTGATCAGGGGTTAGAGTCCCCTTGCCGTCAGGCTAATCATAGGATTTTTTCGTGTTTTTTCTCTCCATGTAATGCAATTTCGGGTTATTTCCATCAAAAAATCCTCCACGAAATTTCACTTAATACGTGATACAGAAGTTTCCTCGTCTTTTGTATTGTGTTTAAAATTACAAGGCTACGGGATTGACCATTAGTAGTCGTAAACACGTAATTGGGTCTGCTGTTCAATAATTAGAGGGTTGAATGAATGAATCTATATATATACAGGTATAGGACAAAATAATAGGAACACTTGTGCATAGTGCTGCTATATATATATATATATANTATATATATATATATTCTCTCGACCTATCTCAAAACTAAATGTTGAACTCCAAGTGCAGCTCAAAGCCTAAAAACCGAACAGTTCCAGTTATCATCTAACTGCCTTAATGGAACAGTTTTGAGAAATTTGAGATGAGTTCAAGGTCAAAATTGACAGATATCGCTAATGACTCAGAGCAGTACACATGATACCTAGTTAAAGAGCTGTTCTCACTGAAAGCGAAACATTTGCATGCGAATGCGATTGCGAAATATTTTTACCCGTAAAAAACTTCACTCAGGTTCTCACTCGCAACGTGGAAAAAATCTCAGGCAGTGAGAACCCTCCCTAAAAGTTGGGTAAATTAAAGCACATATCTAGGCACTACATGAAGCAAATTCCAAGTTTAACGCCACCTAGTGTGGTAGTAGTTCACTGTAATTTTAATGAATCAATAATTTAAAAAAAATTACATAAATTTTAGTTCTATAGGTCATCGGGATAACAAAGCAGGGGAGCCACCCCCTCTTCAGATTAGCAAAATTGCGATGGTATGTCTTCGGATCATCCTCAGGGGTTTTTCCCAGACAGTTACCAGTAGTTTATTGTGCAGCTTTAGTGCGACGTGAATAATTTACTTACCTATTTTAGTTCTGGAAGCGGAATCGAAGAATTATTTATAAAAATGAATTTGACTAGTAAGTGTTATTCCTCTTTTTTTACTAGCTAATGATTGATTCCATTTGACTATGAATCATACTTTGCTTTACTAACAATAACTAGTTGAAATCTGAAAATCTAGAAATTAGTATATTGGCATTTTCGATGGATATAACATATGGAAATGTAAAATCTAAAGTTATGAGATTGTATTCCAATATTACCAAGTTGTTTAGAATGTTGATAGTATATTTGTTTCTAAATGTTTTGATTTCATCATTTATGTTGATTACCATCACTTGACGCTATTTAGACTATTTCACAGGGTTAAGTCACTAAGCCATTGCACTAATTTCATTAACATCATTCTGAGTTTGACTGTTAAATTAAGTGCAATATTGTGTTTAGTGTAATTTTAGGATCAGCATTGCTAAACATAATATTAAAAAGTGATTTAATAGTTGATTAACTTCATTGTTTTTATTTCAATTTCGAATTTTTTCGATAGTCTGTTGTTTTTCGCACTAGATAACAAAATCTTCCATTTTATCCACAAAACTAGGATTACGAATACTTCAGGTATTGCCGCTAATGAACAGTGTTTAAGGATCAATAAAAGAAGTCAAACTTTTTAATTCGCATTTTTAATGTGACTTTCATTACTAAATTAAATACCATTTAATAATAAAATCACAAAATCATTAAAAATTAAAAAAAAACTTATCCATATTGATTTTTAAATTTTGAGCAGTATATGCACATTTTTAAAAGCCTTTTGTTACTTTACCACTAACTTACATAAGTCAATATGGAATTCTTACAACTTGCTATAATTACTCTACACCAGGAGTAACTTATACCCTCATGTTTTTAACACATATGTCTTAGAAGGCTTTCAAGTATTTAAAGATTGAGTGTAACTATAGATTCAAATTTTGCAACAACTAACTAATTTCTAAATTATCTTATTGTAAAGTGACTAAAGTAACCCCGAAGGAAGATCATATACAGGGTGTCCCAAAATGACCGAATAAACTCGGCACGGCTAGATTCCTCATTGGGAGTTAAAAAAAACTGCCCAAAATAGCATTTCAGTACGATCCATAGTTTACGAGAAAAATACGAAAAACAAAATATGTCGTCACTGCCGGTGCAAGAAAAAAAAACTTTATTGGACATATCAACAACAGTATTAGCGTATCTTTCAAGACGATAATGTTTAAAACGGTCGCCGCTCATATTCTGCTTTAAATTGTGCATAGTATACTGCTAGAATGAAGATAAAAATTGAGAAATGTGCCTGACAGAACTTGTAAAAACAATACTAAAACTCTGAAATATTATATAGATTTTATTTCATGTTTTCTAGAACTTTGTGTGAATGCATGAGTGAGAATAACTGTAGATCCAAATTTTGCAACAATCAATCTCCAAATTTTTAAATTGAAAAGTGAAATTGAGTAATCCCGAATTAAGTTATCCTGAATAAGGGTAATGCATGTAATGACGACAAAAATAAACGTGAAATGCGCCTGATGAAATTTGTAAAGAGAATATAGTAAACTGAAGAAAATGTTATATTTATTTTATTACATAAAATATACAAAAAAAAAGACTATAATAATTTACTGAATGTAGTTAAAGTTACGGACAGATATTTTTGTGCGTAAAACTTTCACGGGCATAAAAAAAAACCATGTAAAACAATCAAATATTAAGATAAATCTGAGAATTGGATTGATGTTCAGGCTTTTTAAAATAATCTATTGCACAAAAAATTTAAATCCAGCAAGTTAACTAAGTTGATTCATATATTTTCTTAATTTATATATTTTGTTATTAACTTGCTTTCGTAAAATTTGGTAAAGTCATCTTTTTCAGTTACATTTGGAAACATCACATAATTCAAAACAGTCATGAAAGCTGTGTTTTACAGTAGCAATAAAGCTTAAGTTTTGGACTGTCTATACACCATGATTGCGCGCCATACATGTTGATTCTACTTACGCCCATTACTTTCGCAAAGCCCATTTCATCGTCATATCGTACTGTTCCTTCAAACATGGCACCACCTGGTTGAGTTGAGAGTGTGATAAGATAGTCGCCAAGGGTCGGTGGTACCTCACCCAATCCGATAACTGCATTTTCAACTATACCCCTACGCCCGGTGAATTTTAGTACTAATTCATTAGGCAATCCGAGTAAAGCGTCTTTTATTTCATGAAGTTCTAATGTCTCGCATACATCAGCATGAGGTTGCAAAAGTTCATTTATGTGGCGGACGAGCTCATTGGAAGCTTTTATAACAACCAGATCATTCTTTGAAACAGGGTTAAAATTAGTACAAGGACACCAATGTGGAAGTATATAAGCATCTTCACATGTCCTACTTTCTGGTATTTCGTTAAAAAGACTCATCCCGAACTCGTCGCTGTCCTCCAAAGAGACTTGATTCTTCAGGTGAAGTAAGTGTTTCAAAGTTGCATGGATATCAAAAAGGGTAATGATTCTGTCTTGGTTTATGATCATATTCCTTTCGATATCAGGATTCTGATTGAGGAACCATTTTGGTATGTGCATGTACATAAAAGGCATCCGTTCTTCGAATTTACCGATATATGTGTATCTCATATCACCATACCTGATACCATGATCACTAAAAATGACAAGAAGTGTGTTGTTCAGTGAACCATCATCATGAAGGGCTTTTAGTAGTCTCACAGTCGGGGCATCGGCATAACTGGCGTAGTTCAAGACATCATGTGTGAGAGTAGATTGCATGACAAAAGCAAAATATGGTCTCTTATCCATGGTTTTCACAAAGTTCCTCAAATAGTTATTAATAAAATCCATTTCTAATTCAGAATTCAGACAAGTTGAGTTGTATTTTAATGCTTCACTTCTCAAATTAGAGACTTCGATCATTAGTGCCAATGGTCTGTAATAATAATCAGTCGGTTGTTCAAAAAATCCTCTTCTGAAGTAATTAAAAGTTCCATCATATGGCTTGTCTTCAGCGTAAAATGTTCTGTAGCCATATCTGGAGTAGTCTTTCCAGATCAAACTTATGTTGTCAAAAAAGAATGTATCGGCCATTGACTCATTCCAAAAATAGTCAACGAAATGACCTGTAAGCATTGGTACCAAATTCGGAAATGTGTTGTCTGCTACTTTCGTATACCCCTTCATGTCAAAAGTATTCATTTTGTCTTTTAAGAAAGCTTTTGTTTTAGGAAAATGTCTGAAAAAGTTTAGTTTCGAAACTGAGTCAATGCCCAAGAGAATAACGTTCAGACTTGTAGGGTTTGTGCTAGCATTATCTTCATTTTTGTCTTTAAGTCTTACAAGAGGTATATACTGCTCATGAGTATAATTATTGCTAAAATTACATGTTACTGCTATATGGTCATAATCAATTGGTCTATCAAATTCTAATTGTTTTTGAACAGTCAAATAAACGAATTCTTCTCTAATCATGCTAGGTTCATAATATCGTCCAATGCCTGCATAAAAACATTGTACGTCATCAATACTAGAATTATAATATTTTTCTAATATTGACACATTCAGATGAACTGCTCCATTTGGGTCAGGAGTTATGAACAAAGGACGACCAGAGCAGGTTAATGGATCAAGGATTTCAATGAATTGAAGTATTGTTGGATCCCAAGGATCTAATTTTGGTATTCTGCAACCTTGAGTATCTATTATGAAAGCGGGATTTTTGGTAGGTTTTGCAAACTGATATGAAGTTGTTAAAGTTTTCGGATACGTGTTGTTTTCATGTATAGTTTCAAATGTGGAACCTAAAGCACCATTAGTGTTTGATTGCTGCCCAGTTGTTGTTGGAGTTTTTGTTGAAATATGATCTTTGCGACTGTTGGGCCAAACATCAAGAAATCCTTGAGAATATGGTTGCATTGGAGGGTATGTAGGAGCATTTGACAAAATTTGATCTTTACGACTATCGGACCAACGATCAAGATATCCTAGAGAATTTGGCTTCTTTGCAGGATATATAAGAGCATTAGTAAAAATGCGGTCTTTACGATTATCAGACCAAAGATCAAAGAACTCTTGAGAATCTGGTTTCACCGGTGGGTATGTAGGAGCATTTGTCAAAATTTGATCTTTACGACTATCGGACCAACGATCAAGATATCCTTGAGAATTTGGTTTCCTTGGAGGATATGTAAGAGCCTTAGTAAAAATGTGATCTTTATGATTATCAGACCAAAGATTGAGAAATTCTTGAGAATCTGGTTTCATCGGAGGATATGTAGGAGCATTTGTGGTAATTTCACTTAGCTTGTTACGTAAATAAAAATTTGTATCTGGATTTATATTTTCATACTGTATGTGGTTGTTTGCCCGAGTTAGTTTGCGAACATCAGCATTCAGTAAAATATCTTCATTATAGACAGGTACTTTGCCAGTTTCCAAATGAATTTGGTCAATTTTCGGGATGGTCTTAAGGGCAGAACTTATGACTGAATTTGGTGTACCATTTCGAGGCTCAAGTATTTCTTGCGTGAAATAATAACTAAATAAAACATATGTTCCAACGCAAAATAAAAGTAAAAATATGTATTTGGGACGATATCGTAAAGAAAAAAATGCCATTGAATCTCAGCTCTTTGATGGTGTGGATAGTGTTCGCATTTCCAAACCTGAAAAAGAGACAAGATAAATAATTAAGACAAAATATTTTTCATAAAATTTATGTCTACTTTCTGTATTTGGTTTTAATCAAATATATTTCAAATACATATAGTGTGTTCTAAAAATAACCAGAAATTTGAAAAACATATTTGAAGATAAACGGAAGGATATAAAAACGTATGGTTTGCTTTGTATGGTGCTAAGGAGCACATCAAGCTTTAAGGTGTTTTTACTTTCCAAATTAAGAACTCGTTGTAATGTTTGTCCCTATATGGCACTGCTGACTACTTATCAAACAATTTCAACTGAAATTTTTTTATGAGACGGTAATTTATATCTTTAGTCCATACTATTCTTGCTGTGTATTTTTATTATTTTGTTTCTTCAGTTATCAGTGCCATCTGTTGACAAACTTTTCAACTAATTATGAAACTTAGATGATAGCTATGATTTCTAATGTAGATTGCAGCAAACCGAACACATCCATTTTCTTTTATTTATCAACTGAATTTTCGAATCATCGTGTGTTTTTAGGATACACGTTACCGCATAAAAACTGAAATAACTTTTTAAATAAGAACTTTATCTCATAAAATAGAGTCAAATTATTTTTAAAAACTTTGAACTGTCATATGAAAATAAAAATTTTTTTGTTGCTTTTTCTAGTACAAAATCTGAGTCTAAAAAACGAAATAAAAAGATTAAACAGTGCATTCTTGGATTTATATTTTTCATTGCACTGATTGTATCCAGTGGTCAACTGGGCCGTTTTAACGATCTCAGCAATTCGCAGCTGTAGTTTCTTTTTTAAATTTTAAATAAACTAATGACAAAAAAACTTACCTCTTATTGTCCAGTTTCTATTTTATTAAAAAAATGCTGAATTTGTAAACATTAAGGGGTTAGCTGGAAAATGTTTTGAAATTTTTGGTTCAGATTTAGAATCAATCAATAAAGTTTAGCCGCTATCTTGAATTTACTTTAGAAGAAAGGGATCAAAATAAGGAAGAACCTTAAACAATATCTGCTACATAACCAAGGTATTGTTTCTCATGTATTTTTTTTTTACGCTTAACTGAATGAAATAAAAAGCAATTTGATGGAACAAATAGTTCAGAAGCTATGAAAGTTTTATTCTATTGACCTATACCTGTTTTATGAATCTGATATTGCTCTTTAGACGAGTTACATACCCTTTGTTTTCTCTTTATCTTGACTGGAAAAAAAATTGACAGAATCGACCCCAAATAATTCACTAAAGATAAAAGATGTTTGTGTAAAAGCAGAACAATTTTTTCATTAGACAATTAGTTTATATAATTTTCATAACTTTACAACTATGTTGAACTTAGATTGACATGAACTTGTTTTCACATGATATAGCATGAAAAATGAATCCAATTATCCCATGTTCATAGGTGTTATACTAATTATAATAATAGATGTTATAATAATAGGTATTATTCGTTGTTATACATTTTAAATGCAAAATCCTCATTACTTTTTAATTGTCTGTCCTTAATTGCCTACACTTATGTTGCAGTATTTTGTTAACAGTTGTGAGGCTCAATTTGACAATAAAAATATTTATGATTAAAAAAACAATATAAACTGTTTCAAATTATAATTTTGCAGCTCTACTGATGTCTGATAATTTCATGTATACTATGTAATACACGGAGACAAAAATTCTGGTAAAATTATCATACTTTATGGTAGTGCTAATTCTTGTAAAAAAAAACAACATAGTTCTGGTCAAAAAACCAAAATATACGATATTTAGGCCACTGATTTCGTAATTTTTTAGTTCATTTAACAACGGCTTACTGGAAATTTATGGTTTTAAAAATTATAGTTCTATTTATCACGCATTTAGTAAAAATTACAAAATTGAAAAGCAAATTTAATCTCGTAAATAGTTTTTATGCCATGCTCTAAGGTATCATGATAAAATTAAAAATATTTATCGCTCATTATAAAATTATATTTTATTGTTAACTTTAGCAAAATCATTATTTAAGCTTTTCGGTAATATTTATAGGGCTTTAAAGTGTTTCCTTAGGGCCAGAAACATGGAAAATTTTACCATATTCTGATAGTTTTAAGCAGACTATTTTCTCAGTACACATGCTGATATACATAATGATATTTTTTTCACTATATAAGATTCTATTTTTATTATTTTATTTTTTTAAAATTGTAATAACGTCTTTAAATATAAAGCTTAGGAAAACTGCCGTATCATAAATTATGAGTCATTAATTTTTATTTTCATTTTCAAAGTGATAAGCTTATTAACTGATTAAAGCATTTAAACATATTTTACACAATTAGTGACTTGTCTAATTACCGATTTGTCCATTTTTTTAATTTGAATACATATTTACTGATTTACCCATCCATTGACTTATTTACCTGATTTTTACCACTTTTTTTTTCTTTGAGTCATTTCATCTTATTATTTGTTATATCTTATTATCCCTTATTTGTGTATTTACTTATTGATTCACTATTACAATCAAAATGCTTTTATGGAAGTGCCATTTTTAAGTCAAAGTCAAACGATGTTCCTTTTTTCAATGCTGTTAACGCAGATATCGGTTGGCGAACGAACAAAAATGGCAATTTTAAAATTACTACTTATACAAACTGAAACAAACACGCGTAGCAAAATATAACAAAAAAGCGTATTATCATTTCACTATAAAATAATCATTTTGAATTTGAACGGTTGCAGTATCAATGATGGACATAACATCGTGCCATAACATTGCTGAAAAATATTAAATCATTCTTTAAATATGTCTACTTCTTCCTTTCCTGACGATCGGTAAACACATTTAATAAAATAGTAAGGATTATACTTGTAAGTCTACATCAATTTTAAAAACTTTTGATAGTATCAGAAAAAAATACTATTCAAATACGTCGTTTAAAAGAAAAATTGTAGAGCCTCATCCATCAAAGAATATTTACCATTCCAGTCGTATACCTGCTATCAGCCATTAAAGAATTTTTACCGTTCCAGTTGCTTGTTTGTTCTCAGCCACTACAGCAAAAAATCGTACTGATCGTACTTAATACGACCAGAAAAGGTAAAGCGAAGAAAAGAAAAATTCTCTCGAAATCTAACAAATAACTATAAAAGAAGGCAGAACAAATAACACATCAATTCCTGATTGATTGCGTCAGAAGATAAATTTCGCTAGATTTCGATGTAATTTTTCGTTTTTCTTCGATCAGATATGGATTTCACACTACAATGTGCTAAAGTATAATAATTTTGATTGTGTTTATTTTGAGAAGAAATATAAATAAAATTTATATAAATATCTGGTCATGTTAACGAAAACCGCTATTTATAAAATAAAATAATAAAATAACTGTTCTTACCTGTTAGTGGCAATTTCAAGAAAGGAGTATCAGTTAACAATAACTTTAAATGCAAATATTGTGCAATTTATCCAAGATATATATCATGTTTGCTAAAAATTGCATTCATTAAATTGTAAATTAAAGCTACACGAAACAAAAAACGAAAAAATGAACACATAGAGAACGTTTATAAAAGCTGTCAAATAATTTTGATTCTCTAATATACGTTCAAAATTGCTGTTCTAGAAATATTTGGCACAGACAGTTAATATAAATAGTGATTTTTAAATATTGGACATAAAGACATAGTTCACAAATGCTCGAACTGCTCTAATATTTTATATAAATCGTAAAAATGATATTCCTACAAATAGTAATTGATTTTCAAGGTTATTTCTACTTTAATATTGTAGAATTTACTGTTTACGTATTTTTTTACGGTGAAACGATGCAAGGAAACTACGCTGTGAATGTCATAAAATTTTATTTAATCGATATACTCTTTTTACGATAGATAAATACTTTAACCGATTTTTTTTATCAATTAAATTTATTTTAATTTGATCAACGAGGGCATCTTCGTCCTTTCAATTTCATTTTCGTCAAGATTTAATTAACACAATTGCTGATTTTTTGGTCCACTTTTTGGATTAAAACAATTGAAATATGGTCCCCATAGTTTGGTCAGGAGAGCGATCCAAAGTTCCACCTCTTAATGTTAATTTCACTTTTTGCATTTTTAGTCATATTTTTAAAGCTAATAAAGCAATTCGAGAAAGATTTAACCCACTCATAAAGCCTATTTACTCAAAGATAATTTCATGCAAAAAATAATTTGAAATAATTGTTTACTATTATTTATTATTTAATTTAATTGAGAATTAAAAAAAATTTGAATTATGCTGAGGTATGAATTTTTATACCATATTAATCTATAGATTTTTCTATTGAAAAATCTGAAGTTTCAACTGTTTTTATTTAGTAGTATCAGAGAAAAATTAAAATTTATTCTTTTTAAAAAATCATTTGGCGGCAATGAGGAAATATTTAAAGGGGGGAATTAATATTTAAATATGGTTAACTTAGGAGGAACTTGACTTTCACGCTGGTAGCGTAAAATTTCATTAATATTTTTTTCGAAAATAGCCGATTGTTAATCTTTTATTATTTTTTTATTTATAAAATAGGATGTTCCTTTTCTAGTCGTCTAAAATTTTATACGTAATTTAGTGAAGATATTTAAATAAAACATTTAATTGAATAAAATACATTTTATATCATTATTGAATAAAAAACATTTTATTCAACGAATTTCGAGTTTTATGAAAGCATGTTACAGATGGAATCTGATTATACATCAGATTGTGATTATATTTTATTTTTTAGTTTGTTTATTCAATAATTGATACAATTTCAATATTATAGATACGTATGCATAGATTTGGAATAATATATTTATCAACTTCTTCAATGTATATTTTATAATTATCAATATGAATACGCAGCCAACATTTGTAACCTTCTTAAAATTTCTCAACATCTTATATATCGTTTTATTGTTGTTGACGTATGCCTGTTTAGGCAGAGAGGGGTGCGATCGTTCTTGTTTTCCAGTGGCGCCATCTATGGCCTGGAATTCGACTTCTGCCACACCATACGCCATACCCGTTTATAGGGCGGACCCATTCTTACATTCATTCATCCACAGATCGTAATTTTGACCTGAATCAGAGAACGATCGATCTCCAATCCAGTACGCCCAGAGGTATTGATTTGTTATGATAAATCAATACCTCAGGTATATACTGGACGATATACTATAATATAGCGTCTTAATCTTAAAATAAAATTTTGTAATTACCAGTCCGCGTGTGCTTCTCAGAATTTTTTTTTTNTTGTTTATTCAATAATTGATACAATTTCAATATTATAGATACGTATGCATAGATTTGGAATAATATATTTATCAACTTCTTCAATGTATATTTTATAATTATCAATATGAATACACAGTCAACATTTGTAACATTCTTAAAATTTCTCAACATCTTATATATCGTTTTGCTGTTGTTGACGTATGCCTGCTTAGGCAGAGAGGGGTGCGATCATTCTTGTTTTCCAGTGGCACCATCTATGGCCTGGAATTCGACTTCTGCCGCACCATACGTCATACCCGTTTATAGGGCGGACCCATTCATACATCCATTCATTCATCCACAGATCGTAATTTTGACCTGAATCAGAGAACGATCGATCTCCAATCCAGTACGCCCAGAGGTATTGATTTGTTTTGATAAATCAATACCTCAGGTATATACTGGACGATATACTATAATATAGCGTCTTAATCTTAAAATAAAATTTTGTAATTACCAGTCCGCGTGTGCTTCTCAGAATTTTTTTTTTACCAACTCAACCAAATTTTTTAAGTCTCAGAACTATAGCAAGTTAGCTGATGAGAATTTAAGAACATTTTCTAAGTTTAGATAACTCAGTACAATGCAGACTGATTCCAGTAAATAAGTGCACCCTTTTCTCTAAAATTGAGCAAACAAATTATTCATTTATTTACCTTATTGTTTCCTATTTGTTTGGTTTGTAAAAAGTAAACACATATTAGTGCCACTCAAAAAACCATAACTGTTTTCCTTGTTTTTCAAATGAACAAATTCGAACAGCAATTTTATTTTTCGTTTAAACTTATAAATTGCACCAATAACTGTAAGAAAGCTTTTTTTTAAAAAAAAAAAGATGTCTAAAATTTTTTTCCCGTTAAAACTATTTTTCAACATTAGCACAATTCCCAAGATATTATTGTAGCATAATTTGTCATTAAGAAAATACTTCATTTTGATAAGTAGCAAATACTGAAAATTAAAATTCGCAAAAGGATTCCGAAGCTGTGCCAATTTTAGAATCATCATCTGATTTGAAAAATGCAATAAAACATACGTAATTTTCGAACTTATTTTAATTAAAAAAATACACATACTTTTTTACAGAAACTGCTAATATGAATTTTTCCTTTATTTTGTCATAAGTGGATAAGAATGATATTGCTCCAAGGCACCTACTGAATAATTTCGTTATATCCAGAATTAGCATATAACGAAACATATTATTCCTCGAAAGCTAAAACGAGAAAAAAAAATTTAACTATTATTATTTATCGAAGTTTATTCCATTAATTTAATTATAGCGGTATCAAGTTTAAAGATATGAATAGGGAGCCTCGTTTACTATTATACAATAAATGTATTAAATCATATAGCTTGCATAATTTATTTTAAGTAAATTATTTAATAATTTGAAGCAAATAAGGTTGTAAAAATAAACTCGGTCAAATTACGCCTAAAGTACACCCTAAAATATATGCAAAATAAACTTTTGTATCAATAAATAATAAATACACTTTCAAACAACTTCGAGTAGGACGGAACGGAGCAACTTGTATGAAATAACTGTCCTTGCAACTATTTAATTTTGATTCCTGGTTCTGGGGAACATTTCCTTTTCATATTAGACTTTTTAAATTTTAATTGTGGATGGAATTTTTGTATGTCCTAAAGAGAGATATCACTATGTATTAAGGATATCCCTATGTACTGTATTGATTTTCTTAAATAGAAGAGACTAATTATTATTTTTTTCAATCTAAGAACCTATGCCTTTATCTTACGTAAAACTTATTTTAATATCGCGTGAAGTAATTTCATATACTGTGTTACTAAATGAATAATCCCAAGAAACTGTATCAAAAAGATAAAAACTTCATTGATTTAAAAAATAATAGATGATAATAAAAGTAGACATGTTTTGAGCTTCCAATAACTAACGTCACTTGTCATTCACGCCTGACGAATCTTGCGAAAGGGCTCTTATATTTGAACGCTTGAAACATGTGGATTTTTATTTCTCTTTTCATATTTCTTGAAGGCGGTGAAGTTTCTATTATCTATTATTCTGTTTTAGATTTGAGTCTTGATCATTATTTTGATAAGGAATTTGTGCTCGTAAGAATAAGCATATGCATTTTAATATTCTATCAGAATTCATGTGTTCTTTTAAAAAGTAAGAGAACCGTAGCAGCAATATTGTAACTATGAAGATTTTATTTAATTTTAAAATTAAAATTTTGAGACCCGATATTTTGAGCTAATGGAATTGAATATTTTATCTTTTAAGCTTTTGTGCCACCATTTCAGTATCTTAAGACCCATACGAACTTTGTTTAAAGGGAGAATATCGTATCAGATATATGTAAGAAAATAAAGAAATCACCAGTATTTGGTTATAAATTTAATTTATCGTAATTGAGGAACATGTAAACATTTTAATTTGAATTTGTGAAAATAAGTTTCGGAATGTATCGAAACATCAGGGTGCTATTTGCAAATCATTTATATCCATAGAAAACCATGGTAATATGTGGCAGAATGAAGCGATTCTTTAAACAATGAATCATACAATATGTAACATATTATTTCAATATGTTTTTCTTAAACATAACATATTTGTCTTTAAAATGCATTTTAACATTCAGCAATTCCTTCAGTTATAGAAAAAAGAAATATCGTAAATTATATAAGACATACAGAATGTGCATTAGAATTACTGTACAATTTACATTTTTTTCAGACACTTTTTTTGTTTATTTAACTTTTTTGCCTAGAAGACTCGATCAAAGCTGCAAAACTGATTATCCCTAAAATTTTGTATATAGTTATAAAAAGATACGCAAATTTGATTTTAGCATGAAATCCTTGTATAAAGGGAGTAAAACAACATTAAAAAAAGCTCAAATATGCCTGATAAAAAGTTCATATATTCAAATTCTAAAAGCTTAGAAGATCATAAATAATTTATAAATTGATTCAAATTTTCTTTTTATAGGAGATTTAAAAAATATCTCTGCTTTTTGGTCAGAAATCAGCTGAAAAATTGTCTATTGCCTAGAAACTTCGAGATATTTTCTATTAACTATTAATAAATAAACCTCGCCCAGCTATCACAGAACATTATTTAAATTTTTTTAATACCCTGAATTTGGTTGCTTAGCAACAGAGTAAAATTAAGTATTCCTCTCGTGAATTAGTCTATGGGTTATCTTAAAATATTCATTTGTGGTAGCGACTTTGCTTGGCTGTTTTTTGGGACTATCAATAAATATATGTAACTTATTAGCCCCCAAATTTAAATTTCTTAATTTAAACCTTGCCGGCTCGAAAAGAACACATCTCTCACTTTCCCTCCACACTGGTGATCACAAACACTCATCTTTCTCACTCCTGGACAGATGGCAGCACTACACTACCTTGTCTTGTTCAACGATTTGCCTTGGTTCGACATACATGTCACTGGAGTCTTAAGCAACTTGAAGGTCTTTACTGAAGACAACTTTTGCGAGCATAATGTTAATTTACGGTCAGTGACTATGTATTTTAAGCGGAAGAAATTACTTTTAGACTCGTGTTATTATGGTCATGGTGGTTTTTATGGACAGAATTTTATTTTACGGTCATTGGCCGTTATCAAGAGTTTAAATTTTTAAAAGATTAGAATGTTTTTAAATGAGTAAGGTATTATAATTTTTTTATTAAATTTTATGATACGTTTCAAACTAAAATTTGTGGGAAACCCCTTGTCCTTTAGAGGTTTCTTTAAAAAATTTAAAAACTGCTTAGAAAATTTTAAGTAACTTTTTAAATGTTTAAAATATCCAAATTGGACTTTTTCAAATAGTTATCAGATACAAGGCATTACAAAACTTAGAAAAAAAAATATTTCAGTATAAAGAAATTATTTTAAATATTAATATCTTGTGCCATTTTTAGTAAATTATTTTCAAAGAATAAAATAATAATTTTTTAAATAATAAAAAATTGTTCCGAAGGTTCCGTTTTATTTTATTAGAATATTTTTCAAGTTATAGCAAAAACATGAAACAAATTTTTATGAAAATGTTCATATCTCCATAAATATTGTATCCAGATTTACGAAATTTTATGCAATTATTGCAAATAACAACCAAAGTAGTTAATACAAGTCAAAGGCTTAGAGCTATATTTTCTGGCATAGAATGTTCAAAAATATTTATTTTTGCTCTTAGTTTGCTCTTTAAACTTTATTGATATATATGAGAAATTGTATGACAAAAACAGCTATATAGTTACGAAATAATCCTACTTTTTATGAGAATTTACATACAAAATGTTTTTATTTTTGAAAAAAGTTAGAAAAACTGTTTTAATTTCCATCATCCATGTTTTTGGAACGTTTTGCTAATTTCGTTCACGTATTATCACTATTTTATTCTATAATAAAGCAGTTGCCAGCAGAAGTCACTATTTGCAGGAGTCTTTTGTTTTTTTTGTTTCAAAAATGCCTGTATTAGCAAGAAATGTTACTACACACCAACCAACTAAATTTAAAGGAACAAATCAGTATTTAAAGTACGTAAAAAAATACTGAACTGAACAAATTTTACATTGAACAATTTTTTACAATTAAATGCAAAAAAGGATTTGATGAAAAAAGCTGGCATACCCACCTGTTTCCCATAAACAATCCCAAAACTTCTTTATTTCCTTTAAAAAAAATCTAGTTTATATGTTAGAAATTCCCCAGTATGTGTTTTATTTTATTAATGGATTCAAGAAATGCAGAATTTTCTGAAATCAACATTTTTATTTCAAAACTTTTGTGTCTGAATTTAGATTTTAATGATACACGAGTCAAAATCGACTAAAGTGTGCTAAACTTAAAAAAAGTATTACCTACTCTTTTATGAAATCAAATGGAGATATAAAATAGGTCTAGCCAAAAAAAAGAAAGAAAACTGAGCTAAGCAAAATAAAATGAAGAATGATAACAGGGGTGCCTTTAACCTTGTTTACATGACGAAGATAAAAACTTGTGTGGTTAAGTGCAATAAAAATCAAGTATTACGTATAGCGATGGAAAAATAATATAACTTACCTGTGACAGAAGAGAAAATGATTTGGATGTTCATCTACACTGTAAGAAAATCCAGATCAAATTCCGATAAAGTGTACTGGAACCCTGTGTGCATGATGCGTAAAATTCAATTCACCATTAAATCCATCTTTACAGTAAAATCATGTACCGTAACATTTACAGTAATATTTATTTAATTACAGGGATTTTACTTGTATTTATTACAGTAAAATTACGATATATCAGATATTTTAGTCCCTAAAACTTTGCAGTGAAAATGGATTTTACAGCAAAAAGTAGCGAAACCATGAGTGCCGATACGTCCTACCGGATTTTTTTACAGTGTTCTAGTTTTAACTAAATATATCAAAATAATTGAAGAGCTGAGATGATGAAGGCTGTAAATGAAATTTCAGCGTAAAGAAAACAGTAATCGAAATAAAAATAAAAAATAATACACTAAAGGGTCAATTAATCGGGAAGCTTGCTTGATTGTGTTACATGTGCTATCATCATATATCGACCGGGATCGATGATATTAAGTATAAACTTAAATTTGTTTACTTAATCATTTTTAATGCAAAGCCACCAGGACAGGAAAGAATAATATAAGACTTTACAATGACTTTAATTTATTTATTTATCTTAGTTTATACTTTCCAGTTATGAAGGAATAAACTGAATTCAGTGTTAAGAAGTACAGATTTATTTATCATTTGTGATCTTCTATTCAAAAAAACTAGTTCGTTGAAAAAAATATTTTTGTTTAAGGTGCAATAGAGGCAAATATCTGTAGTTTCAAGGAATATGTAAATTTTCAAGGTAAATGCCTGTAGGAGAAAAATTCTATTAGTAAATTTTTTGTGCATTTTTTGGTGCATTTTTGAATCCTCCTCGAAAAGTGGGTCAAACTGTTCGAAATGAAAATTAAAGAAAAAAAAAATTAACGTAAAAAAAAAATGAGCTCCACCCTACTGTTCACGGCAAGGTATTCACTTTCTTTTCTTTTAATTTGCTTTCTAAGGTGTCTCCTTAATTATTTGTTGCTAAATACACTTTAATCATTTTTCGTCTCCAAAGATCTGTGAAATTCCTTTTTAAGGTATGTCCTTTATTATTCGTTGTCAAACGCACTTTAATAATTTTTCGTCTCCAAATATCTAAGAAATTTAAAATTTAACGCAATAAATTACGTTGTATAATGAAATACAACTAATATAGTACCTTTTTCCATAAAATCTAATTTTTTTTCAATGAGCTGACGTCCTATGACATGTATTAATACTACAACGTTATGCCATGTTCATGGCAATTTTGCATCCTGAGTTTTCATATACCAAAGAATCATGACATTAATGGCTCAGAACAATAATGGATAGAATTATGTTATGTAAAAGTAATAAAAGTCAAGAACAGTTCCTCATTAAAAATTTCAGGGAAAAATTAATTATTAGAATTATGGTGCAAATTTAGCTTTATTTTCTTCTAATTTTTAGTCATCAATATTTTATTTATATTTCCAGCCTGCCTTTTCTAGTTTGCTCAAAACAATCTTATTTTTAAAAAAGTCGTACATCAAATGTCCTTTTCTAAACTTTTTATTTTTCAATTTTATTTTATTTTTCAATTTTCCGGATCTATGATTTTTCTAGTTATAAAAGATAAAAGCAGGAACAATAATACATTTTAAAAGTCTTTTTATTAATTTAGGAACAACTGTACCAAGTTCGGCCTTTCCACTCACAAAATTGTCCTATGAGTGTCCTTTTTAGCTGTCGTTTTTTCGAAGGATCTCTAGTTATATGAAATAACGCTTTTAAGCAAGTAATAAGATAATTATATAATTGTTTTGAGTTCGTAACAGTTATCTTCGACCTCTATGCTAATAATTAAAATGGCGCAAAAAGCAAAGATAAAGCATAATTTTACGAAGAAGAAAGCGTCTTTGATATGAATTTTAATAATAAACGCATAAAAATCTAGAAAATTGAGAATAATTAATGATTTAAGTAAGTTTTTCTGGGAAGAAAAATTTGCCAATTTAACGATTTTGGAAAAAAAAAATTACAAAGTTTTTAAATATGTAAGTTTGTTAGCAAAATCCTATGCATGGTTTAAATTATAGCTTTGCTTCGAGTTAAAAGCACTTAAACTGTGGCTTTTTATTTTCCTCAGTGAAAGAACTTCAGCAAACACTATGAATTTAATACTAGTTCTTTAACCCGTCAAAATGACAGGGTGAAGATTCGCCTTCCATTTCTTGTGTCCATGATATTTCCGGTCTGAAGTGTTGAAAAGCAATGCTCCAAAAAAAGATTAAAACAATAAGTGTCTTATGTCCGAAATTTGTTTATTTCTCAATCTATAAGCCGGATTGCAGTACCAGACTATTTGTAATATTTTTAGGGAGAGTTTATTTTAAACTAGATGTCAGCACTCATCAAACATGAATAATTGTGATATTCTTTTTTTTGTAATCTTAGTTACTAGTTAGGCTCTTTTTGAGTACATGTGATTTGCGTTTTGTGATAAATTTTTTTAAACTCCTTAAAGGTCGCATTTTTCCCCAAAAATTATTTCTTTCTACTTCAAGCAAAAAATTTTACCCAGAAATCAAAAATGAATGCATATATTGTACATACACTTAGTTTCATATAATTTTCTTAAATAAAAAATAGGAGCTCTTATGCCGTCAAAATTATGCAACCTCTTAAGAGTTAAACATTTGTAAGTGTGCATGTTTTAAATATTTAAACGAATAGTTTACAACACAGTCAATACGATTTAGAATACAATTAAAAGAAATGACAATAATATTATTTAAAATTTATTTCCTACGTTGAAAATATATAGCAGCATTTCATCACTAATATGATGACAATTTACTACAACGTAAATATTTATAATGTTTGAAAACAAATAATTTAAATGCTGGCAGTAAAGGATAAGTATTAGTCTGATTTACAAAATAATAATAATAAACAATCTATAAGTATTATATGTTATGTTGAGTCAAAAGAATTAAAATTGTTTTCTGAGATCTATATAAAAGGAAAAGTACTAAACCAAACACTGAAAACCGAATTTCTACCAATTACTAGGAAAGGAATTTAGTTTCCAGAGTTAACTTTTCAATGCTTCCATGCAAATCGTTTTGAGAGAGCATAAAACTAATACCATGTATGCCAGAAGAACTTTCTGCAGCGTTAAGAGAAATTTTATCTGGACAAGTCCGTCGCTTAAAAATTAAAAGGTGGGGGATTCTAGTATTAACACATTGAAAACCTTAGAACAATTATTGATAAAAATTTCTTACTTAGAGCATTCTTAACTTAGAGCATTCTTTCTTAAGCACACCATGCATACTCATGAAAGTGGTTAAGATAATTCGTTTTTACTTGACTCAATATACAATTAATTACGACTCAATTTGCATTTTCCATAAGATTTCCTAGTTCAGTAATTTTAGGGCTGGCAAATTTTTGTGTTACTAAAAATTATTTCTAGGCTTTGTAGTTTTTTAAAATTCGTATAAAATTCAGTTAAGTGTTTACAATTGTTAAGTATCGGCTAATTTTTTCCACATACTATGATATCTGTCATTTAAGTTGAGTTTTACAATAACAATACAACTTAAGCCTTGGACTGTCTATGCACCATGACTGTTTTCCATACATATTAATTCTACTGATATCCAATACACTTGTGATATTATTTTCCTCGTCGTATCGCACAGTACCTTCAAACATAGCGTCCCCTGGTTGTGTTCTCAAAGTTATTAGATAATCTCCAAGCGTTGGAGGTGCTTGGCCGATTGCAATCCTTGCATTTTCGACCACACCTTCTTGGCCTATGAATTTCAGTACTATATCATTTGGCAATCCTCGTAGAGCATCAGTTATTTCTTTGACCTCTAATGTTCTACACACATCTGCGTAAGGAAGTAGCATTTTGTTAATGTGCTTAACGATTTCCTCTGCGGCGTTTACTACAGTCAGGTTGTTCAAAGGTACTGGATCGAAACTAGTACAAGGACACCAATGTTGGAGTATTTCAGCATCTTCACATGTCCTAGTTTCAGGTATTTCATTAAACAGGCTCAACCCGTATTCGTCTTTATCCTCCATAAAATCTTGATCCAGATGAAGTAAATGCTTCAAAGTTGCATGGATATCAAAAAGTGTGATGAGTCTGTCTTGGTTAACGAAAAAGTTTCTTTCGATATCTGGATGCTGCTTTAAAAACCATTTGGGTATGTGTATGTACATAAATGGCATCCTCTCTTCGAATTTACCTATATATGTGAATCGTAGATCCCCATATCGTATACCATGGTCACTGAACATTATCAAAAGTGTATTATTTAGAGATCCGTGTTCATCGAGTGCTTTTAGCAGCTTAACTGTGGGAAAATCAGTGTAACTTGCATAGTTCACTAAATCATGTGTAAGAGTAGAATGCATGACGAAAGCAAAATAAGGCCTGCTTCCCATTGTTTTCACAAAATTCTTTAAGTAGTCATTGATAAGATCCATTTCTAAATCTGAATTCAAACATGTTGAGTTATATTTTTTAGCTTCGTGTCTTACTACAGACTTTTCTATCATCAGAGCTAGTGGTCTATAATAATAATCTGTAGGCTGCTCAAGAAATCCTCTTTTATAGTAATTGAAGATCCCATTAAAGGGAGCATCTTCAGCAAAAAATGTTCTGTACCCTTGTCGGGAATAATCCTTCCAAATCAAATTCATGTTGTCAAAAAAGAATGTGTCTGCAATAGATTCATTCCAGAAGTAGTCAACAAAATAACCGGTGAGCATTGGTACCAAGTTAGGGAATGTGTTATCAGCCACTTTTGTGTAACCTTTCATGTCAAATATGTTCATTTTGTCTTTTAGAAAAGCTTTTGTCTGTCTAAAATGTCTGAAGAAATTTAGTTTAGAAATGGAATCAATACCGTAGAGAATGACATTTAGATGGGAAGAAGGTATAAGTTTAGATTTTTTTTCTTCCACTTTCGCTTTGAGTCTTGTGAGAGGCATGTACTGCTCATGAGTATTGCTGTTATTAAAATAACATATAGCAGCAATATGTTCTGCATCAATAGGTGTATTGAATACTAATGGCTTTTGGTTCATCAAATAGATTGTGTCTTCTCTAATCATAGATGTTGTAGAATTAAGTCGTACTTCTTGATATAAACATTCCATATCACCTGGTGCGGAATTGTAGTATTTTTGTAGCACTGACTCATTTAAATGAACGACCCCGTTTGGTTCAGGAGTCATGAATGAAGGGCGATTGGAGCATATTAATGGATCAAGAAGCTCAATAAACTGAACTATAGTTGGATCCCATGGATCCAGTTTTGGTATTCTGCAACCCATAGTGTCTATTATAAAAGCAGGATTTTTGGTATGATTAGTGGCGATAAAGTGACGTGTTAAATTTTCTGTAGAATTATATTGGTTTTTTGTATTGAATTCTGATATATCGTCAGAGTTTAATTGTTCTTCCGACAACGATGGAGTTTTTAGAGAAACAGCTGATTCTATATTGTCTGGCTGCAATTCGAGGTCTGGTGAATATGTTGGAGACACTGTATTAAGCCCTGTTTTCAAATAAACGTCTTCTTCTATGTTGTCTGGCTTCATTTCAATTTGTGGATGATGCGTAGGTGAGACTGTGCTTACGCGCTTCTGCGATGCTAGCAAACCATCAATACCATTAAACGCTTTTTTCGGGTCAATTCTTGCGCGCATGAAAGGCTGTTTATTGCGCTTAGAAATAAAATTATCATATTTATTGAAGTTTGCAAGGCTCGTTTCATAATTTAATGTAATTAATAACTGATCTTTGTGAATAAATGCTTCATCCTCTATGTGTATTTGTTCTATGTTGTGTATATTTTGGATGTCCGATCTCCTCTTAATGTCCGTTGCATCATTTAAAATTTGTGAACTTTTTCCTATTATAAACCAACTGAATAGGAAGTATATTGCCAAGCAAAACAGAAGTAACAGTGCACATTGATTGCGATTACGCAAGGAAATAAATGCCATTGAAACTTAAATTCTAGATGACTTCCTGGGTTCTTTACACCTGAAAGATATGATTTGGATCATATTACAAACTATTGAAATGCCATACTAAATTTTGAATATATATATATTTTTAGTGAATATTTAAAAGGAAAGAAAACAGATTATTTTTCGATTCCCCTTGTTTTTAGCATATAAACGCGCATAACTTTTTTCAATAATGTTAGAGCGAACAAATTGTAACAATTTATTAATTTTCTGGAATTTAAAAATAGAAAAAAGTTAGTATCCAAAATAATTTAACTTTGTTTTTTAAAATACGTTTTAATGTTTTTTCAAAGAAAAAAGAAGCCTAGATTGAAGTTATTGTTCTAAGTTTAATATAGTACAGCAGTTGTTACCGGGAGGGGCACCTAGCTAACATTTATTGGAAGGAGAGAGTGTTTTAAAAAAATAAAATAAAAACAAATTTTAATGTACTTAATTTTGTAGTTACATGTAAATATTTTAGACGTTACTGCACTTTTTATATTTTCAATTAGAACTGACTACTGCTGTGCCATTAAAAACACGATTATTGTCGTACGTCTGCCAAAGCTGTAAAAGTACGAGGGTGATTTCTGGTTCAGCTGCCTTCTATTTATTATTTTTCTTGATAATGAAAAATATATGCCATCACAACTGATAAATGAATTGAGGAATTTTATATCAGGGCAATATACGTAAAGTTCTGCAATTGTGTAAAGAAAAAATATCAGTCTCTTACACAGGAGCAAATATGATTTTAATTGTGAATGACAGCAAAATATAGTTACAAGCGTTTTTTTTAAAAATTATTTTTATTTATAAAATCGAATGTTTTGCATGTATGCTGGGAACAAATATATATAATCTTTCTTTTCACCTCATTTAGGACCAATATCGTAATATAATTATAAATTTTGTGTTACTGAATTAAAAAAAAAAAGGCGACGGCCTAACACCAAGTAGTGTAAAAGAGCATCCTTGGTTGGAGTAGTGGAACGCCACTTTCGTGTAAGCGCTAAGGTACACGGACATTTCTCACAGTAAATACATTCTTACAGTTCTTTATAAATATGTATATATATGCACGTAATAGCTAAACCGCTGATGTGTATGACCTTTTATGCTAAACTAGCAAATTGAAAAATCCAATAAAGATTGGAAATGCCGAAAATTAATTAAAACAGCTGATATATAATAATTACAATACTGTTTTATGTTTAAGCATTAAACTGCATAATGAAGATTAAAAAAATTCATGTTATTTTATAGACTAAATAAATTCATTTACCTGTTATCTTGAATAAATTCTATAGAACAGAGCATTACCTGGAACATATTTTCACATTGACATTTCAGTATATTACATATTTCCATTGCATATCTGAAAGTGCGAAAAACTTCATCTACCTGAATTAGAGTAGTATGCTGAAGAGATTGGAAATTTTTTGAATTAGATAATTTTAGAAAATGATCTGATTTAACATAGATCACTGAATAATCTAATTTGAAAATATCAAATTTCTACAAATCGAATTAGAACTCCGTGTAATTTTTACAGAAAATAAAGAATTTCGTAATATTTTTAACAGTTATCTGAGTTACATTAGTATTTTTGCACACTTACAGAATGATTCTCTTCATAAGATTTCACAACATTTTCATCATTGTGTATTTAAGCTAAATATAATTTTGCTTTAAGTAAGTCTGATTGTTATAAAATAATGGTTAATGAAAAAGAAACAGTTTAAGTGTCAAGTTTTTGTGCTATCACGTTTCATCTAATAAAATTTAAAGAGAATGACACGTGTAACAGACTGGTAATAAAAATGCCTTTTATTGAGAACTGGCTTGTGTTATAAGTTTTATGATCAATTATGAGTACTCTAAGTTTTATGACGAAACAATACTATTATACAATGAAAATTTTTAAATAATTGCATTGCTTCGGAAAGAAAAACAGAACATAATGAGTAAAGTTATTTTCACGCATGAAATGCAATATTCATGGTTCGAAATGTATACCTTAAATTTATATAATGGTTGTTGAAAAGTGAACAATTAAAAATACGTCCCTCTGTTTATGTCCTGTTTTTCGAAATTTTAAGTTTAAAACTTGACTTAAAATATTTATACACTAATACAAAAACAAACAAAAAATTACTTTTTAACATTCAACTTTCTTAAAATTCACTTTCTCAGAACTATACAGCTGATTTCGCCAAATTTCGTATTTTGCCTTATAAAATTACATTCCTTATAAAATAAAGTAAAATGTGTATACCTTACAATTCAAAAGTTTTTCGACTATTATTAAATATAATAATAAAAATTAATAAATCATTTTTCAAAGTCATATTTTTTTGCACAGAATTATCTTTGAACAAACTAATTATATACTTGTGTGCAAATATTTTTCTATTCGCTTAAAAAATCTCCATGATATAGTGAAATACGCAGTGTACCGCTCTCCTGAAGGAACTATTGTTACCATACTTCCCCGATTGCGGCCAACTCCTCCATTTTGGGGATAAAAAATTCAAATCTGTCGAAAAAGAGGCATGTATTTTATCTTTGAAAGCAAATGCGTCTAATTTTACAATTTAAAGCCTCCTCTGCACTAATTAGATTAAAAGTTATTCAAGATGTTTTTTGGCAAACTATTTACTTTTATATGCATTTGTATTGTTATTATATTTATATGCATGTATAATATTAATTCTCTCTCTCTCTCTCTCTCTCTCTCTCTCTCTCTNGTATATATATATATATGCAGTTGTTTGCTAATAGTCGCTTTTGATTGGCAGTTTTTGATGAGCTTGCTATAGGGCTAAACAAAATATTCGGGCAATTATTGAATAAATTAGATTGATTTTGTAAAGTAATTATTAATTTCAATTATATTTCCTTTATTATATTTAATAACAGTTGTAAATTTAAACTCGTAAAATGTTTTAATTGTTCACTCACATGATTAATGAAACCTAACTTTTAGCTAACATTTAATATTGATTTGTCAAACATGTTAATTATTGCACTTTATTCATGTTCTCCGACTAAATAAATAATAATAGAATTTTGTCTTTGATAAAAATGTTTACATAATTGGAATATAGATCAGTAGTTAAATATATAATTTATATGTGGCCTAATTCAGGAATATTAGTGCATATTATAATTAATGTTATATATAGAGAGAATGTTAATGCAACGTTAATTAAATGATCTCAAAAATCGAAGTTACAAGAATCTCCGAATCTCCCGTCAGGTAAGGTAACGGCTTTAGTTCTGGTCAATAATATAATTTTTAGGTTGAAACTAATTCCATTTTGATTTCAATTGATTTTTTGTCTAAAAAACAATACCTGAAGTAGTCAATTATGAGACTTCTTTACAATCACTTTTTAGTGTGGAATAAAACAAATTGAGAGAAAGAGATGATTATGACAGTTTCTTTTTTCAATTTATTTCTGTTCAATAAAAGGAAAAGGAAAGCAGGAATTTTAAAGTCATTTTTATTTAAGAAAATAATCAATTTTATGACTTGTCTATAAATTATTGTTTATTTTATATGGTAAACAAATATTACTTTCAAAAAGAGAAATTTTAGTGATAATTTTTGTTTGAATAACTTTTGTAAGAGAAAAAAAATGAAGATAGAAGTTCAAATTTTAATTAAAGAAAATATTTATATATATATGTTCAAAGTAATACATTCCTTAGAAAATTTATAAGAAATTGTTTCAATTAGTTCCCTTTCCTTAAAAAAAAAGACATGGCTTCAGATGAATATAATAATAGAAAATTTTACTAACCTGTTATATACTTCGATAAAAAGTCAAAACATATAATGTTTTATGAAACATATTATGAAATTGTTATTCTAAATTTTATATATTTCTTGAATTTTTCAATGACTTGTTTGTTTGATTTAAACCAGTACATAATTCACGTCTGTATTTAAAGTAAAAAAGCTTATTTTGTGAACGAAGTAAAGTTTTAATTATAACTGCCTATTTCTTTGGTTGTAAAAACATCTAAATACCAAGATTGGTTTTAATGCTTTTAAAGTGTGTACTCAGGTGCTATTATCCGTTATCAATATCTACAAATTAAGTGTGTTACTGCGTCTAAGACATTATTAACAACGATTTGTTGTTCTACATAGTTTAAGCAACACATCACGATATAAAAAGTAATTTGTGTTCATTTATGTGGTATAAACAACACATTAATTCATAAAAAGTAATTTGTGTTAATTCTCCTGGTATAAGCAGCACATCCCTGTGTAAAAAGTATTTTGCGTTAATTTTTTGTGGTATAAACAACACATCATTGTATAAAAAGTAATTTGTGTTAATTTCTTTAGTATAAACAACACATTACTCTATAGAAAGTAATTTGTGTTAATTTTCGTGGTATAAACAATACATCATGGTATAAAAAGTAACTTGCGTTAATTTTTTGTGGTATAAACAACACATCACTGTATAAAAAGTAATTTGTGTTAATTTCTTTAGTATAAACAACACATCACTCTATAGAAAGTAATTTGTGTTAATTTTCGTGGTATAAACAATACATCATGGTATAAAAAGTAACTTGCGTTAATTTTTTGTGGTATAAACAACACATCATTATATAAAAAGTAATTTGTGTTAATTTCTTTAGCATGAACAACACATCACTCTATAGAAAGTAATTTGTGTTAATTTTCGTGGTATAAACAACACATCACGGTATAAAAAGTAATTTGCGTTAATTTTTTGTGGTATAAACAGCACATCACTGCATAAAAAGTAATTTGTGTTAATTTTGTGGAATAAACAATAAATAAATAATCCTAAGAAGCTAAAGCGGTAAGATTATTGGTTTCAAAAGTATATATATAGAAAATAACAGTCGACCTGCTATAGGGGCTCATTATCAAGACTCGCCAGATGTGAATGAGAAAAAGTAGAAGTCATTTAAAATAAAAGTGATTTGAAAAATAAAACGCAAAGTTGCCATCGGAAAATGGAACAATAAAGGTGAGAAACAACACGAGGAAAATTCTGAAATTAACGTTAAATAATTTTTTTTCTTGTTTAGTTTCTCCTCTTTATTTTTCTATTTTCCATTGGAAACTTTAGGCTTTATATTTTAAACCACTTTTATTTCCACTCATTCACGTCTTTCAAGTCTTGATAATGAGTGCCTATTTTTGAGTGCTAGAAATACGTCGACTGCTATTTCTGATTCATATATTTTTGAAGCAAAATAAGGTTTTAATCAGAGAATACAAATCTGTTGTTTTAATTTCAAAATACATAATAAAATGTTTGAATAAAAATTTATAGCAGAGATTAGGAATATTTTGATAATCATAATGAGTTCTTTTTATTCATTTATTTCTTTAGTATACAATACATGTAAATCTTGGGACTAGAGAAACAATGAAAATAAGTGAAATTTCCATATAACTAATCTAATGTGGAAATGAAAAAAAAATCTGATTTTGACAATAATCACAAAAATGCAATAATTTAAAAAATAGCAATCTAATCCATTTTACATAAATGCTTTCTATTAGTTTTAAATAAATGACATGTAAACAAAGAAGTGATTCTCTGAAACTACCATAATTTTTTTTAAATTAATACCTATTTTTTCAAAATCTCAAAAGTAAGTTCATAAGAACTGATATGAACTCACCTACACTGTAAAAAATTAGAGATGAAATTAGGTAAAAGGTAGGATGGGTGCTTTTTTAATGTAAAAACCATTTTTGCCGGAAAATGTTGCGGAACCGTAATTTTTACAATAATAACTGTAAAATTACTAAGTCACTCTAATTAAATATTACCATAAAAATTACGGCATAATATTTTACGGTAGAAATGAATTTTACGGACGATTCTCCCAAAGTACTGGTGCTTTTATAACGATCCGGATTTTTTTACAATGTATGGATTTTTTCAAAATCTCTTATGTACGTTCAAATGATCTTAAATGAAAACATGAAACGGTGTCCAAACGTATTAAGTATTTTTATGAAACAAAAATCAAGTCAAATTGTAAAATATTGGAGGTTAATGACTGCGGCTATGCAAAGTATAATAGCATTACATGCATGTTAAATCTACAGATTATTGTTAATCAGTCATGAACCATCTAGTTTCATATACATAATATAACGCATGGCTCGGAAGATCTTAACATTTTTACACAATCTGCCGGACATTCTGGCTTAGAAAATGCATGCCAGAATGAAGCTATTGCATGCCCGAACATTTTTTTCTGTGGCATAACATATGAATGTACCTATTATTAATATATGAGGAAAATGATATTAGCTACATAACTACGTCAAAACTTTTATTTTAAGTATAACTAAGAAGTATTGGGCATTATAAACAGGGAAGTAGGAAATACAAATGAGCATTGATGGAGAAAATGGGCAGCATTCTTAACAAAGAAATGTTGCGTTTATTTTTTTACGCATTTCAGGAGACGCGCCATACCTTATTTTTCCCTTCCTCTCTTGACTTTTGTCGGATTTGACGCTTTATAGAGCGAAGCGGAATCACTACAAATTAACTACAATCTACATACCTTTCGACATATTAGTTAAAATCATCGTTATAAACTTTTAACTATTATTTTTACAATGCAATTGTTCAGATAAAATTGTTTAAATGAAAATAAGTATGTCTATAGGAATAAAGAAAGATAAGTTAACATGATTAAAGATAATGATAAAAGGATAAGGATAATAAGGATAAAAGGATAAAGTAAGGATCAAAGGATAAGGATAATATGGATAAAAGGATAAGATAAGGATGATAAGGATAAAATGATAAGGATAAAATGTTAAGGATAATAAGGATAAAAGGATAATAAGGATAAAAGGATAATAAGGATACGGATAATAAGGATACGTTTAATAATGATAAGGATAATAAGGATAAAAGGAAAAGTTGACAATAATACATTCTACTTTGTATAATCAAATTCAATAATATCTAGACATAATTAATACCTTTAACCCATTTTCGTGGCCATTTATTTGCCTCATCCTACATTTTAGCGATTTTCGTTGAAATTAAAAATGTATTTAATCGACATTTCCTTTTGCAGATTTACGTACCCTGCCGGGCCCATAAGGGTTAAAAACACATGCGCCAGACCATATCCGGCAATATAATTCATGATCTCTGCTATAACGATATCTCGTTAAACTATCTGTGTTTTACAATAACAATACAATTTAAGTCTCGGACTGTCTATGCACCATGACTGTTTACCATACATATTGATTCTACTGATATCCAATACGTTGGGGATATTACTGACTTCATCGTATCGCACAGTGCTTTCAAACATAGCATCTCCTGGATGAGTTTTCAGAGTTATTAGATAATCTCCAAGTGTAGGAGGAGTACTGCCTAATTTCAAGATTGTGGAATTATTTTCAGCTAAACCTCTAAATTTTAGCACAATGCTATTTGGTAATCCACGTAAGGCATCTGTTATTTCCTTAAGATCCAATACACTACACACATTTGAAAAAGGAAGTAGCATTTCATTTATGTGTCTAACGATTGCACCGGCAACATTTACCACAGTCTTGTCATTCAAAGATATCGCATCAAAACTGGTGCAAGGACACCAATGTGGACGTATATTAGCATCTTCGCATGTTCTGCTATCAGGTATTTCATTAAAAATACTTAACCCGAGTTCATCAGTGGTTTCGTACAAATCTTGCTTCAAGTTTAGCACGTGCTTCAAAGTTGCATGTATATCAAAAAGAGTGATGAGTCTACCTTGATTAATGAGGAGATTTTTTTCAATGTTTGGATGTTGTTTTAAAAACCATTTGGGTATGTGTATATACATAAATGGCATCCTCTCTTCGAATTTACCGATGTACGTGAATCTGATATCACTGTATCTTATACCATGGTCACTGAACATGATTAAAAGAGTATTATTTAACGAACCATCATCATCAAGGGCTTTCAGGAGTCTTGCAGTTGGAGCATCAGCGTAACTGGCATAATTTAAGACATCATGAGTGAGAGTGGAATGCATGGCAAAAGCAAAATGTGGTCTGTTGTCCATGGTTTTAACAAAGTTCCTTAAATAGTTATTGATAAGGTCCATTTCTAATTCTGAATTCAAACAAGTAGAGTTGTATTTGTTTGGTTCTTCCTTTATTGTAGAGTGTTCTAACATTAGTGCCAATGGTCTGTAGTAATAATCTGTTGGCTGCGCCAGAAATCCCCGTTTGAAGTAGTTGAACGTTCCAAATAAAGGAGCGTCTTCAGCAAAAAATGTTCTGTATCCTTGCTGAGCGTAATCTTTCCAAATTAAACTTATATTATCAAAATAGAATGTATCTGCCATTGATTCATTCCAATAGAACTCAACGAAATGACCTGTAAGTAATGGTACCAGGTTAGGAAATGTATTATCAGCTACTTTAGTGTAACCTTTCATGTCAAATATGTTTATTTTGTCTTTTAGAAAACTCTTTGTTTGTCTGAAATGTCTGAGGAAATTCAACTTAGAAACAGAATCAATGCCATAAAGGATTACATTTAGCTGAGAAGAAGGTTTCAGTTGAGATTTTTCTTCTTCTACTTTTTCTTTAAGTCTTGTGAGAGGCATGTACTGCTCATGAGTATTGTTGTTTTTAAAAAAGCATTTCACAGCTATGTTGTCTTCATTAATAGGGATATCGAACACTAACTGGCTTTCAGTCGTCTTGTAGATGCCATTTTCTCTGTCCATTTCTGGTGTAACGATACGCCGTACCCCTTCATATACGCATTCTAGATCTTTCGCTGTAGAATTGTAATATTTTTGCAGCACCGATTCATTCAGATGAACAATACCATGTGGTTCAGGGGTCATGAATAAGGGACTTCCAGAGCAGATTAATGGATCCAGTACCTGAATGAAAGGAAGTACCGAAGGATCCAAAGGGTCCATTTTTGGTATTCTACAGCCAGGAGTGTTTATTATAGAAGCATGATTTTTAGTGGATTTTATGGCTTTGCGTGAGCTTTTTGGGATATTCTTTAATGAATACTCACTGTTTAACGAAATTGGGGTGAATTCGAAACTATTGTTAGATACTTTATTGAATATGGATGGTGTATCTAGAGAAGTGTCTTCCACTTCCTTTTCAGTCCTTTGGATTTTTAGGAGGGCAGTTCTAATCACAGTGTCAGCTGTAATATCTAAAATTGTTGAACTTTTATTTAAAATATAGCAATTGAATGCAAAGAATGCACCTAATGCAAACATAATCAATATTACGTATTTATTCCTGTAACGTAAGAAAGTAAAAGCCATTGTACCGAATTCTTGATACCTGAAAGAAACATGAATCACTGATAACAATTATTTGAATCTAATATGAAATTCATGGTGTTCCATAATCACTGCTCTTAATCTAATTTTTAGAATCTTTGGTTAAAATGAGGTTGAATGGAATGTATGTACATATTAAGAGTCTTAAAATGTCTAAGACAGGAAAAATATACATCGAAGTTAGATGAATCATTATTAAGAATGGTGGCTGTATAACCATCAAAACATGTTTGATTACTTGAGAAAAGAGTGCAACAATGATTATTTCAAACACTTATAAATTTTATCCAGCAACCTAACATGTTGTTTTTACACGTGCTTCTCTATGGTTATTTGTCAAATTTTGAGTTTTATGGTTTTTCGGTTTGTCATTTCCAACTGCGTATAATTTTTACTTAAATTTCAAAAAGGATTCTAAAAATGAAAGTTAAGGGTTGTAATTATGAAACATTACATACGATATGTGTGCAAATATATAACATATGATATAAATGTAATATACCTTATTTAGAATATTGCAATGAATCAGGTCTGCAGCTTACTTTTACGCTTATTTAATTTTTAAAAACAATTATACAAGTTATTTTTTTTGAAATTAAATATTTATTTATTTAAATTTTCCTTTTCCTAAGAAACTGTGAAATTTCAAATCTAAATCACATCTTGATTTTCCAAATAGTTTAGTGAAAAGATCTAAAAATTTAATTTAAACTGTCAGTAAATTTTATAGAAATACAAAGAGAGAGTTTTGATTTTAATTAAAAGCGAATAGTATTTATGGGGATTATGATTTATGCGTAATATAAAAAAATATAGCTATAACAGTAATTGAAATCTGTTATAATATTTAAATTTTATTGGTGTTTTTCTCAAACACTTAAAATTAAGGGTAAAGAAATTGAGTACGATCTTTGCATAATTTATTTAAATTCTGAAAATGCAACTACAGTTAACAATTTTGCTTGTTCCTACTTGAAAAATAGTTTTTAAACTCCGTGGTGTATAAATTAATAAGCATTTGCTTGAGTTAAGAATGAATTTTTCAGTACTTTAATGTAAACTCATACTATTTTATTCCTCTCATTTGGTATTACATATGTCATTTTTAAATTTAAGACATTTATTAATTTAACATATTACCCAGAGTTACTAAGTGGTCTATAGAAGTGAAACATCCACATGAAAAAAAAATGCTCGCACAGTACTCCAAAAAAAATTAAAAAAGAACACCGAGAATAATTTTAGAGTTCACCATTACAATATTAAAATCACTAATAAATGAATAAGAATGTTTATTTAGTTTACCCCACAATATCGGGTTAAGAAGAATGCAATAAGGTATAATTATTACTGAAAATGACTTAAATTTGTAAGCATTTGTTTTGTTCCAAAAAATTACAAAGAAAAAAATGGGATAATATAGAAAAAATAAACAATGGAATAAAAATTCGAAAATATACGAATAAAATTTCGTGTTAATTTTTAATGGAACAGAGTCGAGAAAAGGATTTTATTCGAAAAATCGCTTTGGTTTGAAAGTGTTTACTAAGTGATAGCAAAATTCCTCCTGAAATTAAGTCCGAAATTTTTTTTTCTTAAAAAGTGAAAAATTTCTTGTTTTAGATTTTTTCCCCTCAGAATTTTAAGAAACTATCGAAAGAAAAACTCACCCCAGTGAAACTTAATAAACTTGCTGTAGATAATTTGACTTAATTCCTTTACAGTAATTTTACAACATGAATGAAATATGAAAACAAATGACTAGAATTCAAGATCAAAGTGAATAAAATGCCCCTTGCATTAAAAGTAAATAAACATATTTATTATATTCAAACTAAATAATCAAAAAATGTGCTTTGAATTACCAGTGTACGTAGAATGCAAAAACACTATAACTTGGTTAAAATATTTTACTGACTCTGAACCAAATGTTTGTTTTCTTAAATAAATTTATAGCATAACTGTTTCATAAAATTGTGATATTAGGAAAATATACTGACCTGTTAACTATATATCACTTCTGTATAAAAATACAAAACAAACAATATTTCCATGAACGTGGTCTCATCTTTACATTACAGANAAGATTTTATACTATAGCACATTTCTATTAGGTTTAACGAATTACGTGTCAATTATTTGAATTCCAATTTGTTTTAATGATTCAGTAAAAAAAAAGCTGTTATATGGATTTGAATGCTTGTCTTGAATTCTTAGAATATTGTGCATTTGCAATGTACCTAAGTCAGTAGCGAGCGAAGCGAGTTTGGTTTGCGAAGCAAACCATATAAGATTTTGTAGCAATTTTTGGGGGTTGGCGAGCGTTAGCGAGCAGGGGTCGCAGTCCACTAGTACGAATAAAATTTCGAGTTAATTTTTAATGGAACAGAGTAAAAAAAAAGGGTTTTATTCGAAAAATCGCTTTGGTTTATAAGTGTTTACTAAGTGATAGCAAAATTGCTCTTGAAATTAAGTCCGAAATTTTTTTTTGTTGAAAAAAGTGAAAAATTTCTTGTTTCAGATTTTTTCCCCACAGAATTTCAACTAACTATCGAAAGAAAAACTCACCTCAGTAAAACTTAATAAACTTGCTGTAGATAATTTGACTTAATTCTTTTACAGTAATTTTACAACATTAGAGAAATATGAAAACAAAAGACTAGAATTCAAGATCAAAGTGAATAAAATGCCCCTTGCATTAAAAGTAAATAAACATATTTATTATATTCAAACCAAATAATCAGAAAATGTGCTTTGAATTACCAGCGTAGAATGCAAGAACACTATAACTTGGTTCAAATATTTTACTGACTCTGAATCAAATGTTTGTTTTCTTTAATAAATTTATAGCATAACTGTTTCATAAAATTCCGATATTAGAAAAATTTACTAACCTGTTAGCTATATCACTTCTGTATAAAAATGCAAAATAAGCAATATTTTCATGAACGTGGTCTCATCTTTACATTACAGAATTTAACACACTTCCGTTAATAGTCTGAAATCTCTTTGAATCGAATCAAAACATTTTTGTGGCAAACAACAAATAATTATGGTAAAAGCAATAAACATATTCTTCAACATTTGTTTTGAACAAAATAAATGTTATGTTTTTGATTCATAAAAGCTTTTAATTAAAAATTTTTTTTAATATTTTCTTTAAGGAAATAATTTATTAAAAGTGGTTTTAAACGGTGTACGTACTAAATTTGAATCTACGTTCCGCTTTAAATCATAAAATCATTAATGCAGAATAGATATTTTATGGACATAAACAAAGAATTTTTTTTATACAGTAGATGTATAATGACATTAACATTTAATTTCATTGTTGTTTTGGAAAGATAATATAGCACTATTCGGTATGCTCGAAAGTTATACATGTACAGTGGGCAAAAAAAAAACGGACCAAACTGAATAACTTTTGATTTAATGATAGGATCTTCACGTTCTAGGATTTAATCTTAATGGCTAGAGGGTTTGCCTTCAAATATGCTAATTAATAAGTGCAGACGATATTTTTAAATACGAAATCGGACACAAAAACGTACTTTCTTTGAATAAACATACCTATTTTCGAACGGATTCAGATTTCTGACCCCCAAAATATAGGGGGTAGCCGCAATCTGGGACATCTGGACCATAGTTTGTTCAGGAGAGCTGGCCAAAGTTTCGATCCTTTAATGTTAATTTTACTTTTTGCTTATTTCCTTATATCTCGAGACTTTGTAAAGCGATTTGGAATTTTTTTACACACAATTATTAAAATTTGTTCATCCAAAGATAATTCCATACAAAAAATAACTCTTCGCAAATATTTATTACTTCTTATTATTTTATTAAGAATGATTTTATTAAGAAAATTTTTAAATTATAGGGTATACGATTTTCGCATCATATAGAATGTATAGCATAAAGAATGTAATTTGTAGGGCAAAATACAAAATTTGTGCGGAATCGGTCGAATTGTTCCTGAGAAATTGAATTTTAAAAACGTTAGATTCTTAAAATTTTATTTTTCAGGAACTATTTAACCGATTTGGCTCAAATTTTGCATTTTGTCATATAAAATTCCATTCTTTGAAACTATGCAAAAAATTTTATATCTTACATTTCGAAAATTTTTTGATAATTCTTAACTGAAATAACAAATACTTACTAATAGTTATTTTTTTGCATATAATTATCTTTGGATGAACAAATTTTATAATTGTGAGTAAAAGTTTTTCAATTTGCTTTAAAGTTCTCAAGATGTAGAGAAATACGCAAAAAGTAAAATTAACATTAAGGGTTTCATACTTTGGAGAGCTCTCCTGACCAATCTATTGGGATCATATTTCCCAGATTGCGGCTACCCCCTAGATTAATTATTAATTAGCATAATTGAGGTCACCCCCTCGAGTCAGTAAGATTGAGTCCTACAACGTGAAAATTTTATCATTAGATTAAAAGTTATTCATGGTGTTCGTTTTTTTCTGTGCACTGTAGGGGAGAGTGGGGTCAATTGTAACAGGGTACGATTGAAACAGAGCAAAAATTTCGAGTGTCGGGTTCTAGATTTGGTTCCTAGGTGGCGCACAAGGTGTATTTAATAAATCTACATGAACACCCCTGCTGGCAACCATTTTTATGTACTTTTGAAAGAGTTACATCACAAAAGATATTTTCACACTACGTAAGTACTTTTTTTGGTATTAGAATATTATATTGTAACAAAGTAATTTTGTTTAAACAAATAAAAATTATTAACCGAATATGTAAGTGGACACCTTAATTAACATTTAAAAAAAAAGATTAGTTTTGTTAATTACCTAGCATTGTTTTTAACAAATGAAGCTGAAATGGCGTCTTGGGGACGATTGTAACAATAAGTAAAGGGACGATTGTAACAGCTGAAAATAAATAATCTTATGTTTACAAACCATTACTTAACTCTGTTAGAACCACCAATAGTTTCCTATATCATTTATATTATGCTGCATGTGCATTATTTTATTTGTCACCTTTCGCAGCATAAATTGAAATTTTTAACCCCTTAAAGTTAAACGTTTAACCCTTTAGGTCTCTTCTCATTATTATTTTCACTCCTAAAATACCACTACTATTTTGATCAATAAAAAAATATATCACAACTATGATAATATGTATAATTAACTATGTTTTAGTTGAATTTATGAACTGTTACAATTGACCCCGTAAGTGAGGACAATTGTAAGAAATGCACGGCTGTCAAAAAATACTAATAACTAATATAATAACATTTAAAATAAAGTATTTATTTTTTTCCTAGTAGAGGAAAGTCTACTTTACCCGTCTGTCAATTAATACTAATAATATATTGGATTTAATGTTAGTTAAAAATAGTTAAGTAAAAAATTTTACAATTGACCCCACTCTCCCCTACATTATAACAAGAATTTACGTTCCATAAAATATTTCGGTATAAAAAAGATCATCATACAAATTCGTGTGATTAATACGATAATTTCTTTTCTGCTATTTTCCTTTTCATGAGTGCCAGAGTAAATTCTTGCAATTTAAAATGTAACACTCAAATCTTCACTTTATGATAATGAAACTTTTAATCATCTTACGAAAAAGCAGAATTTATGGCAATATTATCGTCAAATGAAAATCAACCCCAGCCAAAATTTCGATAAGTTTAGGAATAACTTACGAGAAGAAAAAAATTCAGGTAAAATTACCATATTGTATGGTAATGGCATTTCTGGTAGAAAAAAAATTAAAATTAAACCCTGGTTGATTAATTGTTGACTGGTTGACCAAATTATAAGGTGTTCAATCCATTCATTTGGTAATTTTTCCGATCATATGACAGCCGTTCACAGGGAATTCTGGTTTTCCGAATTACAGTACTTTTTACCACACTTTTAATAAAAAATACGTGGCTGAAAAATAAATTCAAACAAATAAATGATATTTCTGCCATACTCTAAGATATGATCATAGCTATAGAATGCTATAGATCATGATAAAATTGCTAAATTTTACCGCCATTTACCAAATTTAATCACATATCGCCATATTTTATTGTTTATTTAGCCAATGCAATTACTAAAGTGCTTCTGCTAAAGTTAACTTTTTGGTATTTTCCTAGAGTCAGAAACACGGTAAATTAAATCGTATTCTGGCAGTTTTGACCATATTTTTTTTCTCATTGTAAAATATTCAAATTTTATCTGGAGCCTTGTGCTGTATGATTTAAAGATTCAATAATTTTTTGATTGCTCTACTAGCGGAACTTCAAGTCTTGTTATCACGTGAAGGAATGTATCGTTAATTTGATTTTTAACTGATTTCCACGTACTCTGTAAAAAAAAAAAAGTCCAGATCAAATTACGATTAAAGCACCAATACTTTGACTGAATCATTCATAAAAAATTTCTTTGCCGTTAAATATTAAATCGCAATTTTTACAGTAATATTTTTTTAATTACAGTGATTCAATTGCTTTATGGTTTTCATTACTGTGAAAATTACGATATTTCAGTTTTTGTTGTTCCGTAACCAGGGCCCTGGCTAAAGATGTCAAATTATTAGCTAATAAATTAACCAAATTTTAAAAGTATTCGCCAATTTTCAAAAGTCTTCGCCAAGTGCAAATCTTAACAGTTTTTTCATGATTAATTTTTCCCCCATAGAATTATTTAACGGAGTTTTATTTGTATTTTACAGTAGTTTGTTTCAGGCTTATATTATTTGTATCCAATTCTAATTGTTTACGCAGTGCATCTACCGAAAATAACTGTAATCGAATAAGAAATGCTGATTTGTTGAATGCTGAATGCAGCTGAAATGCTGATTTGAAAAATTTTTTTTGACGTAATTTTGAGGATCGAGTTAAATATATATTTTTTCTTCAAGTGGAAAAAACCGAAGCACAATTTTATTAACCAAATTTACGATTTTATTGCATTTGGCTAGATGGCGAGTGCTGAGCTTGGGCCCTGCGCAACATGCTCAAGTAAAAATAGATTTAAGGTAAACATTACCACCACTCTGACTACCAGCACTTTTTAACATAATTTGATCCAGCATTTCTTTACAATATTGTTAAA